ATTTATATATATAAATTTCCCCTCGAATAAATTTCAAAATGAAAAAACTTTAAAAATCTGATATTTTTTTTAAAAAGTCGGTGGGCCACACCTTACGTACTGGCGGGTCACATGCAGCCCGCGGGCCGCGTGTTGGACACCCATGATATAGACGATTATGGAGAGGAATCGATATTCATGGACAATGTTGTCATATTAATACGTGCCTTTACCTTATTTGCGTAGCCGCGTTTACGAAAGAGGATTACGGATATTTTCACTTTGTCAAGTCCGAGGGGTCGCATCTCATTCAGACCAAAACAAATAGATTTTTGCCGTTTAGCTTGTCATATCTGCCTATCCCGAACTTATTTATTAACTCAATAAAAGTAATTTATTGCAAATTTATTAATCATTTCGAAATCAGTGCAATGGCTTTTCTACTTTCGAACATCACCAGGATTCAAACTAATGAGTGTGATCTTCACTTCAACCAACATGAGGACCACTTAGGCACACTAGGCACGTGCCTAAGGCGCAAAAGATCTGGGGACGCAAAATATTAGAGGATGAAAAAGAGAAAAAAAATTAAAATTACAATGAACGTACCACCTCCTAGCGAGTTATGAGAGAAGAATTTCAATTTTCAGACTAATGACTGAAGTGAGTGAATATTAACTTCGCCCTGTTCCGCTATTCGAGGGCTTTTGGTGACGGACCTCGTTATTTTGAGCCATGGTCAAGTGACGAGGATTGATACCTGAGCTAGCACCCCCTTCTCTTAACTACCACACCACACCAACGGGAGGACGTTTCAGTTCTCGACTGATTTAACGTACATCACTCCCCTACACAGCGGGTCTTTAGTGGTACTGGGCTCGAACTCATGATATGCCTGCTATGATCCGATACCTTGACCACTGGGCAACCGCAGCCCCATGACTGAAATGAGATCTACTGTGGAAAAGAGGAAAAGCTTAATAGTTTGATGGTGCTATGCACTCGAAATGATATTACTATGAAAATTGATTACAATGTTGTTATTTATAACTTTGCAATGATCAAATCTGGAAAAAAACTTTAGTTGTACTAGTACAATGTTTGTGACTCAACATTTGATAAGGATGTCTAAAAGTAAAAGATATTTAAGCGATGAAAAAGATAAAATTAACAAGTTGAAAACAGTCCATACAATAATGTGTTCTCTATACTGCAATCGCAAACGATTTCATTAATTTACTTTACTAATTTAGAAAAGGGTGGGTGGTCGATGATACCATAAGGTAAGAAATGAAGAAGAGTGGCCAAACCATGCCACTATCCTTTCCTTTTGGTTGCCAGTTCATGACGCGGTGAGTGCTTAAATGGTTGATAATGTAAAGAACCTCCAAAACAAAGGAAGGGAAAAGAATAAGGAGTTCAGGAAAAATACCTCCCAATTCAAATCTGGAAAATTAAGCACTAAAGAAGGGTGGTGGGTATTCTGGAAATAGTGGAGGTCGTAAAAGTTGGAAGGGCCTAGGGAGCCAGGGAGGGTAAAAACGGCATTGACCAACATGAGAAGGTACTGCAACAAATTCCTTATAATACTTGAATATCTTGGTGGTATTTTGCTCAAGTCTCCTTCAATCTTATGATAATATAATGATTCATATCGCTATTACTTCTGTAAGAAGAATACACACAATCTGTGGCGCACACAAGGGGGGGTCCTTTGGGTCCGGACCCCCCCCAAAGCTCTTGATTTTTTCCCGATTGATTATAATTCTAAGTATATAGTACGTAAAATTTAATTAAGTATTTGTTATTAATGATTAATTTTATTAATTAATGCTAATTACTTATTTAATAATTAGTTTTTTACTGTGTTTTGTTCCCGAAAATCGACAAAATCAAAAGGAGCATGATACAAGAATGGTGAACTTTCGACCCCGGACCACCCCCTTGAAAAATTCCTGTGTGCGCTACTGCACACCATGATCTGTTTTTGTCCCATATATATACATTCTATGCCCCATCTACCACAATCTCTGAGCTAAGTGTTGTTAGAATTCTCGATTTTGTTTGGACAATCCTAAGGGGGAAAAAATACTTCTTTTCTTTGTTTGGAGTAGCAATGAACTTTTCAATGACTACGCTTAGTTTTCAAACCCTCTGATGCACACCTTGAAAGAAAAGAAAACAAATAGTGTGTCTGGGTGGCAGGTCATCAGTTTGACACTGGCCACTTGAAGTATTCGCACATCAATAGCAAAAGCGTGGGAATCGTAAGCTAAAGTGACCAAGCGTGAATTTAAAATTTAAACATTGTGAGACTTTTTTTCATTCCTTCTTCGGTGTTCTTTTCCCTTCAGAAAAAAAAATGCTAGGAAACAGCGTAGTTCTGTTAAACAACTATTAAGTAAAGTATCTTCGAATGTTCAATGGATCGTATCTAATTCCTCCTCTCTTTTTATTCTCTCTCTCTCTCTCTCTCAGTATATATAAACAGTCAGATATCTATTTAACGAAGTCACTGAATCCCGAAAAAAGTTCTTTATATGGAAAATTCGTTATATAAAAAGCTAGAGGTTCTTCTTTCAAAATTCTTAATAAACCATATAAAACAAATTTTAAATTTATACACTTTATATTATTAAAAAGAAGCAATTATGTACACTTTTTTTTACTGTAAATTAATATCTAATTATTTTGTATATCTTTCCCATCAAAAATAAATCTGCATGGAAAATAAGAAAAAGAATATATTGCCCAGGAATATACATAGTTTCAATTTTAAGAAATAATTTTACTTGAAAATTAATGAATTTTTTTATGACATTTTCTAATTTTAAGCCTATAAGTAATTTTAAACATACATTATTTTATAACCAGTTATTTTAAGCATGTAATGGTCTTATCCCTGAAGTCGCTTCCTCATTATCTTGTCTACCAAAAGCTGTGGGAGGGAACGATGCATGACCAAGACTCTCCATGATAAATCACATTTATTAATATTCAATTATAATATTTCACAGTTCTTGTAATCAGATTAGTTTAGCTTTAATCAACCCTATTCTGTTAATCTTTGATCCACTAATTTAGTCTAGTAGCCGAAATCCGTCCTTTAGTTAAGATGAGTTAAATTCTAATTCTTACCATAGTAACACTGCATTCAGATGCTCCGCTCCTTCTGACCTACGATTATTAAACTCTAACTTTATATGCTCTAACTAATTTGCATCTAGGGTTTCTTCTTGAGATGGATGGCTGTGAAATAAACGTGAATGCTAGCCCAAAGATTCCTCAAAGGATTAGTTGGTGAAGGCCGCGTAGAGATCCTCACAAGCATACACTGCCACATGCGTTCTTTAATTTACTTACAGATAAAATCTTTAATTTTATTTCAGTTAGTTTAAAAAATTGCAGCAATTTTATTGATCTAGGTGATTTAGCACTTGGTAAGACCAATTTAAGGTCAATGATCACCATAAAATGTGCTTAACGGGAGAATAATTAAAAAAAAAGTCCCGAAATATTTTAAAAATGGGGAGAAAAAAAATTGAATCGCAAGAGAAAAAGTTCGTTATGTAGAAAATGCACTTCACTGTTAGGAGGTTATTTTACGAAGAAAATTGTGAAATGTTCTTGGTTGCAGGAAAAAGTTCGCTACATAGAAAAATTCGCAATATAGAAGTTCGTAATATGGAAGTTCGACTTATACAGTGGCTCACACAAGGGGGGTCCTGGGGATCCAGACCCCCCAAAGCCCTTGATTTTTTCCCGATTGATTATAATTCTAAGTTTATAGTACGCAAAATTTAATTAAGTATTTGTTATTAATGATTAATTTTATTAATTAATGCTAATTACTTATTCAATAATTAGTTTTTACTGTGTTTTGCTCCCGAATATCGACAAAATCAAAAGGAGCATGATACAAGAATGGTGAACTTTCGACCCCGGACCCCCTCTCCTCGAAAAATTCCTGTGTGCACTACTGACTGTATATATATACATATACATAAATGAAAAATTAAAAATATGTTCTTTGATCAATACTAAGATGACTTTTTTGCATAAGAAAATTTTATATATTCTTTCAGTAGTTTACAGTGTATTTACACATAGAATTATTAAAGCAATTAACAATTCATTATTAATTTATAACTAATAAGTTTTATTTAATGACTTGCGGAAAATAGTAATGTTTCTTGAAATATCGGGTAGTCAAAAAAAAAAAAGACTAACAAACAGAAAAACTGTGTAATAAGTATAATGATATACTAAATTGCCAAAAGTGTGATTTAACAAAACAATAAATAGAAATATAGAAAGGCAGTATAGGTCAAAATAATGTAGCCGCAGCTGTATAATAGAAACTACTGGCCCTAGGAAGTAAGATTGTAGGGTTAAAACTAGGGGCCAAACAAACTCCCCTTATATTTGCCTGCACTACTTAGCTGTAATGAAGAGAAATGGAATAAAACTCCATAACTGTTAAAAAAATTATAAGCTAGATACTGAAGGAATAATACTAAAAATACATTATTTACCAAAGCCATATATTAATATTAAGAAATTTCATCTACATACCTAATCAGAAAATTAAATACCTTAATAAATTAGGATAATTTTAAAAGGGCACACTATTACGTTTGGGCAATAGCAGGTTAATATGAAAACTTCCCGCCTTACCAGAACAGCAACATACATAAGGAAAATACACAAAACAAAGTAAAACAAGTGATATATATATATAAAAAATATAAGACAATTCCTACTTAGGTCAACAAAGAAAAATTTTATTTTAGTAACTTTTTATTAAATAGTTACAACACACACATATATATATATGTATATACATACGACCGAATCACAATATTACGTGACAAAATAGAAAGCGATTTTCCTCGCAATTTTCCATTCTATATAGGGTGTTGGACTACTTTTTTGTTTGTTGCTATTCATTCATTAATTAAATTTAATTATTTAATAAAATAGTATAGTAAAAAAAGAAATCCTATTCTCGGAAATTAGGCCATCCCAGGTGGGATTCGAACCCACGACCTTGGGATTAGAAGTCCAACGCGCTACTCATTGCACGACAGGGGCACAGCAAACGATTTTCCTTTTTATATATTTTGTAGGACTCTTATTTTTGATTGTTAATATTTATTCATTTTTTAAAAATTTAATTAATGAATTAATATTTGAAAAAACTGTATTAACATCAAGTGTCATACACTACAAGTTTAAAAAAATGTATTTGAACTTGAATGAATGAATAGAAAGTATTTTATTAACGATTGAAAATTTGAAATATATATATAGTGAGAGAATGAACTAATTGCAGGAATTGAATAAAATAAAATAAAAGCGAATAGTAATTATATCAAGGGATATATATTTATATATATATATATATATATATATATATATATATATATATATATCCCTCGGAGAAGCCTGTAACCCCTAAAGGGCGCATCCCAAAGGTGACGGATAGGGGAATGTCTCCTTTGGGTTATAGAAGGAAAATGAAACACCTTCCACAGATCAACCGGCAGAAGTCCTACCTCTTGAGGTAATAACAACCAATTTTCTATGAAAGGTCATTTTACGGATCTAGATGGGACCTTTTGATCCCCCAACGGATTTGATTTGATCGATTTTCGAGAACAAAACACAGTAAAAAACTAATTATTGAATAAATAATTAGCTTTAATTAATAAAATCAATCATTAACAACAAATACTTAATTAAGTTTTACGTACTATATACATAGAATTATAATCAACCGGAAAAAAATCAAGGGCTTTGGGGGAGTCCGAACCCCCAGGACCCCCCTTGTGTGCGCCACTGTATATATATATATATATATATATATATATATAATATATATATATAAACAAATTATTAACAATTTATCAGCTAAAGTGTAAGCAGAAACAGAAAACGACTGGAAACTGAAATGAAGGTGAAAGATAAGAAGAATACTTTTTGTGTAATTAATTTATAAAATTTTTCACTAATTGCTTATAAAATGTAAAGTTATTCGTAGAACATCAAACAAAGTACTTAAGTAAAATCACGACATATGTCCTTTCAGAGGTTCATTTACCTTAAAGAAATCAAATAAAAGTACCCAAAGACGTTTTAGTGTCTCTTGCAAACTTTACAAAAAGAAAAAAGAAGTCATTATATTTTTGAAAGAATTTTCGGACTGAATTCTTCGAATTTTTCAAACAGGCTTTCCTACAGTCCAAACACACGCCTCCTTCTCCAAAAGGACACGTTGACCGCGATTTTGATAGACCTACAAACTGCAGCAGAAGCTGCCATGCATTTCCCGAAAGTGATGTTCCAACTTGTGTGGCCCTTCCTACAGTATAAAAAAAATTATTGTCTCTCCTGGAGTTGATGCAAACGGAAGAAAGGATAGGGCTCAACGCATGTCTGAATACCACCGCGATTAAGATCACAACATCCAAAGGTCAACCCTATTCATCTCTGCCCCAATGCTAGCCAAACAAGTTTATTATTAAGTTACATCGGGTTCGCTTTAGAATACAAAAGGAAGCGGTATTTTTCGCAAGCCACAAGAGAAACTCTGGAGAATTGATGAAGTTTGCCTATCATTAATATCGTGTAGTTGAAATAATAATTGAATTGGAGACGATAAATGAGTCCGTCCTCGTTCCAAAAAAAGAAATCACTGATTCTATCATTCCGCTTTTACCGAATGGATTATATTAAATTATTATTCTCTGCTTGTCATAGTCAAGAAGGCATTTGATTGGCCTTAGATTCAGAAGTCACCTGGAGGAATAAAGTTTATACGGATATAAACTTCATCAATCTTTCTGTAATCTCGTTTGGTATGGGACCAAGAGAAGAGGTGGAGTTGAATATTTATGTGAGAAATTAAATAATTGGATGGGAGGAGGAATTTTATAAAAATGTGTTTGTGAGAAGATACAAGTGGCGTGATGAAACAGGCTTGCATGAACGTAGAATTAATGAATAACTGATAGAAAAGGCTCAAAAATGAGAAAGCTGGTTTGTAAAAAGAACGAGACAAGCTGAAACTTAAGTATACAAATTATCTTTCATGTATTTAAAAATGTGTAGAATTACTTACGCGTTATAACAAAATGAAAGTTTTTTTTAGGTTCTGACTTTACAAGACGAATTATAATTCTTCTACCAGTGTAAAATTACGATTTATCGTTTTAGTTAATAACACTGAATAAATTATTTCCTGAAAATGAAAGAGTAATTTTTCCAGCATAATGTTATTTACGAAAATGAAGCTGAAGTTCTGGAAAAATGTGTGTATAGTAAGCTAAAGTGTATGTTTATTAAATGAATTGCCTTTTAATTAAATTGGAATTAAATTTTATGCATTAAATGCAAAAGGAATTTTATGCAAGAAATTCATCAGTCTAAAAATAAATTTTATATGATATACGGTACCTAACTTTGTGTGTGTAATGATGAAAAAATTAATCTCAAAAATAAAAGTTAATTTTAGTGAAAAAATGCATGATTCGTATTTCAATCTGAAGCGATGATTTTTTCATGATAGTTTAATTTAAATGACGTATTTATCATCAAATCTTACCTCAAGCGAAATATATTCTACCTGGTTTTCATTGCTTACGGAAATTAGAAGAATAAAAAATAATTAATTATAGCCTTTGTAACAAAGAGTAGTTAAGATACTCTTGTTAAAAGGAATTACTTTTTTACCCTTTCGGGACGAAAGACGCAAACCCATGCGCATCACTAGGACCGGAGGATTTTTTCGCGAGAGACCCTCACAGACCGGAGGGTTTATTGCAGTTACGCCTAAATCTATGAAAATATCGAAATATGAAAGCGTTATTTAATACTGTTCTGTAGATTATAAGATCGGCATATATGCTTTATATATTTTGTATTTACTTACTTTATTTACTTCAGTCACTTTCTGTTTAAGTCAATTTTTTTTATCACTTTATTGTTAGTATTTATTTACCATTCAATGATTCTTAACATTATACATTTGAAAACTAAATTTGTTTCTTAAAATTCCTTTTAGTATGAAAATTTTAAAGCAGTATGACCATAGACATAGGCATTTTCTTTCGAGGAAATCGGCATACAGATGTCTCAAATATCATTATCGTTAAATTCGTAATGAGCCGGACGGTCAGAACAGATTATTTATCACTATCACTACTCTCAGAGTCTAATTCAGAATCAATTTTGCATAATTCTGCTATTCCAAGTTTAGTTAAAGGAAAAAAAAAGTTGTTCTTAGTCTTTTGATTTGTAAATATACTATAGATTTTCATATCCCTGAAAAAAGGATGGTTTCATGAATGTCTTAATCTATTAACAGAAATATTTGAGATTATAAAAGCAACATACAAAATACTTTGCTTATATATTTTATACACATATATTTCACTTACCTGTATTTTTCGGATGTGATTTTCTTTTTTACTAAACTAAACATTTCAGCAATTAAATTTTTTTGATGAAATTAATCCAAGATTGTTGAATGTGATCATTGTCCCAGAATTGCCAATAAATGCATTAAATGCTAAGCTAGAGGTATCCTGGCTTATAAAATAACATTTTAATAGTAAGATAGATGCGAGCCAAATTAAAAATATCATTGCCGATAATATTTTATGTCATTCAATTCCTACTATTAGTTCACTCTCTCCCTATATATATGCATTCATTCGCACACACACACAACTTATTCAAATTTTTAATCTTTAATAAAATACTTTGTATTTATCTACTCTGGTTCAAAAACATTTTTTTAAACTTGTAGGGGATGCCAATTGACGTTCATACAGTTTTTTAAGTATTAATTAATTAATTAATTAACTAATAGTAAAAAGCAAAAATAATAATACAACACCATATGTAAAAAGGAAAATCGCTCATTGTGTCCCTGTAGCTCAATATATACCGCGTTGAACTTCTAATCCAAAGGTCGTGGATTCGAATCCACCTGTGATAGCCTAATTTCTAAGAATGTGATTTCTTTTTACTATGCTACTTTATTGAAAGAATTAAATTTAATGAATGAGAATAAATAGTTTCAAACAAAAATAATAGCCCAACACCCTACATAGAAAGGAAAATGGCAAGTTGCAAGGAAAATCGCTTTCTTTTTTGTCACTTAATATTGTGGTTCTGTCATATGTATGTACATATTTATATTAATTGTAGCTATTTAATAAAAAGTAACTAAAACAAAATTTTTCTTTGTTGACCTATCAGAAGAACTGGCATTTATATATATGCTTGAAATGAAATTTAATACACATAATGAAACAGATGAGAGATTCCCTTGATCTCAAAAACAAGACAATTAAATGAATACAGGGTGTGCAATGACACAAATACTGGGCAACTTCAATAGCGCGTTGGACCACCTCCAGCTGCAATACATGCCGCCACACGGTCCGGCATTGAGTTGATTAGACACCTTATGTTGTCCTGAGGCAGATGGGCCCACAAATCTTGAACAGCCAACTCTAAATCATGTACAGAGTGACACGATGGCATCTGCCGTTTTAGCTGATCCCACACGTGCTCTACAGGGGACAAATTGGGGGAGCGGGCCGGCCATGCAAGAGTCTGAAAATGACGCAGGAAGTCTTGAGCAACTCTTGCTGTATGCGTACGAGCATTATCTTGCTGGAAAATTGCCCCTGGGAGACCATTTAGGAAAGGTCCTACATGGGGTCGAAGAATATCATCAACGTAACGTTGGCCCGTTAAGGTTCCACGCATCACAATTAAAGTGGACCGGCTAGCATAGGCTGTGTTTCCCCAGACCATTACACCAGCTGTACGGGCAGTGTGATGTAGAGGAGTGTGGGGGGAATTGTACCGCTCACCAAAGCGTCTCAACACCCGTACACGGTTATCATCTGTCCCCAAAACAAACCGGGATTCCTCACTTAACACAAGTTTTTGCCAATCTGTGACATTCCACATTGATCTGGCTTGGCACCACTGTAGACACAGTTGCCGATGTTCCGGTGTTAAAGGGAGTGCACGGAAAGGGCGCTTGGATTTAAGATTTGCTTCTGCAAGGTGTC